TAAAGGTGTGAGCCACCACTGCCTGGCTCACGTCAGTTCCTATCAAAGCTTTGGTAGGCTATGATATGTGTTTGTCCTCTTTGTAAATGTAATCACCCTGCTATTTCCCAGAGTAACTGAGTCACCCAAAACTACCTAACTATAATTTTAACATCCTAGGAACCAGAAACTAATACTGAGCTCAGTCACAGACAACAACACAGGCAAATAGTGAAGGGAGACTTTATTTCTGTTTCCAAATGCACACACATTCAGTGATACAAAAGGGTGGGGACCACTTCCTATTATACAATGGGGCTTGCTAAAGTCACTAAGAATGTGTTGTGGCTTGTTCTCCCAGCCATGAAAATAATAATGCTTGTCATATCCTTTATGAGGAAAACAATGACTAAAATAGTAATTATGAACCTGTTTGAATTCTTCAGTGGAAGGGTGACAGGTTCATGGTCATCAAGACATAAAAGTGCTTAGATAATCACAAGACACTACTTAGTGTTCAAAGGCAGAGTAAAAACTCTGTATACATCTCATATGGAATAACTGATAAGAAGGCATTTGAATATTATCTATTCCCAACTGGTTTTAAAGCCTGGAATTCCTGACATAATTTGCCTTGCGTAATACATGTAAATTCAATATGACAAGTCCAGCTGAGCAAAACCAGAATATATGGCTTCAAATATTAGATGTAGGAAAGAGACTAAAAGTATCCTGTTGTAGAGTATTACTTTAATTATGTAAAGATATGTTACATTTGTTTATGTTGCACTTGTTTAATTATGTAAAGACGTGTTACTGTTTCACCTTGCCTGCCTAAAGGCACTTTGATTGGTCTAATAATACCTAGGCTGTGGAGACATAGGTGGGGCTGACAGACACAGAGGATAAGTAGGAGAAACCTAGGCTTGAGAAGTAGGAAGCTACAACAAGGGAGAAAGACAGGGAGATGTCTGGGGTCAGCAGGCCAGGCAGATACAGAGTAGGACATACAGAATGAAAGAAAGGTAAAGCCCCAAGGTAAAACATAGATAAAGAGAAATAAGTTAATTTAAGTTATAAGAGCTAGCGGGACAAGCATAAGATACGTCAAAACATTCATAACTAATAAGTTCAAGAAAGCCTCCTACAGTACCCCCAAAACTAAGCTGATTAAACATAGTTTTTTTTTTTTATTTTTAAAAATTTTTTTTTTTGGGCAAGGTCTCACTGTGTACTTTAGGCTAGCCTGGAACTCATCATGTAGCTAGGGGTTCAGATACCCCAGTGCAGAAAGTATAAGGGTGTGTGTGTGTGTGTATGTATGTATGTATGTATGTATGTATGTATCTTGAATAGGCTTTCTTGAAGATCATCATGAACTGAGCAAGCTAGTATACCCTGGCAATCTCAGCACTGGGTGGCAGAATCAGAATTACAAGGTTCAAGCCTGGGCTACAGAGTGAAACACTATGTTACCTTCAACCTACCCCCAAATCATCCTGAAACTAGGAGACTCTGGGCAGGGAGCTGGGATGAATAGAATTGGTGAAAGGACAGAACAAGTAGGAAGTTTCAAAGTGGGACTGAAGAGAGGAAATGACTCAGCCATACATCAGAGAAGGAATTCCAGTTAGGTAAGTTGAATTGTGATACTGTAACTTGGGAGAACTCATTATCTAAAGTTCTAGAAATTCTTTTCAGTGTTTTCAGGAGTAGCAGGCAGGAAGCCCAATGTTAACAATGTAAAACATCATTCCAACAGAGAAGAAAGTTTTGCCATTGTATTTTTAATACTAGGGCAGTTTGAGTCATTTACCCAACCTGACTGTGAAGTAAGACTGTAATCTTAGTATTTGACTAGGACTATACAGCAAGACACTGCCAACAAAGAAACAAACAGAGGGAGAAGGGTAGTTGAGGAGATTGTTCAGTGGATAAGCATGAGGCCTCGAGTTTGGTTTTCCAGGGCTTACATAAAGCTGGAAGTAGTAGCAAATGTCTGTAATCCCAGTGTTCCTAGTGCAAGAAGGAAGACGAGACAGGGGAGTGTCTGGAAGCTCCATGTCCAGCTAGTCTGCTGAACAATGCAGGAAAGAAGAGATGCTCAGTGGTAAGCATACCTGCTCCTGCAGAGAACTAGAGTTTGGTTATCAGCATCCAAGCTCACAACCACATCTAATTCTAGCTCCAGGGGATCCAATAGCACCTGTCCTCCCATGCACACACCCCTCCCCATAATGTATACAATTAAAATTAACATAATATATCTCCAAGGAAGAAAGCAAGGACAAACACCAGAAGTTGTCCTCTGTCCTCCATACATGCACCAAGGCTTGTCCTCATATACTTCACCTCTCTACTCTCTTCAAATTTAAAAGAAGGAGGAGGAGGAGAAGGAGGAGGAAGAAAGGAAAACACTGGTTGTGGTATGCACATATAATATTAAACCCACCACTTGAAACAAAGGAGAACCAGGAGTTTGCAATTACCCTCAGCAACACATCTCAAGTTCAAGGCCAGCCTGGGCTATATGAGAGCTGGTTTAAAAAAAAAAAAAAAAGCTCAAAACAAACAAACAAAAAATTAAAGACTAAATTAAAGTGAATATGAAAACATTCATATTAGTTAGGTCTAAATTTATAACTTACTCACCAAACATTTAGTGAAGACCAATCTCTGTCCCAGCAGTGTGCATAGGTAGAGGTGAAAACAATTGGGACGTGGGCTCTGTCCTTGAGCAGCCTACAGTCCTCCAAAGCCATGAACTGTGTTATTAATACTTCGAAAACTGTGGTTAATGTATGCATAACCAACTGGAATTTGAAAACTTGGACACACAAAGTTTTAAAAGATCTTTTGGAGAGATACTTATGCAAAGATATTAGTTAGGATGGTTGGTATTAAGTAATTTACTTAAATCAGGACTGGAAACTACAAGGGCAAAGAGAGGGGTCATGTACAACTTGAAGTGTGGGTCCATGTGTCCCAGGCTGGCCTCTAACTCACTATGATGATCTTAAATTTCTGACCCTTCTTTCTCCACCTTCCAAAAGCTGGGAATACAGACTGGTGCCACCACGAAGCCTACTTTGGGCTCTGTTCTAAATTTGGAGATGACTGAATAGTTAAGCAGAGGGTGACCATCAAATTTGCCTTAGAAGACAACTAGTCAGGCAGCAAGGAGAGATGTGGAATAGCAGAAATGGGAGGAGACAGGAAAGAAGATTCTCAGAAAGAACTGGGTGTCTGGCTAATGAAGGGTCCTAGAGTATACAGAGCTAGGCTTTAGGTTTGGAGACCCAGTAAGACAGACAGTAAGAGAGCAATACAGTTTTCTTTTGAAGGGTGGGTGGTGGGAGGCAGCCTTACCTTCAGCTGAAGTGAGAACTATAAATGTGCATCTTGGGTTTTTTTTTTTTTTTTGATATAATCATCAGGCAAGTGGACTCCAGGCTCTTGAAAGAGTTTCATAATGTGTGCAAAGGGTCCTGAGGATGTGTGTAGCGAGTAAGGTATTTCTGAGATTTTTTTTCATATGTCCCTAAGTACTAGGACTGAATGAACTAGCTGATTGTTAGTAAGTGCTCTAATCCTGTAAAGAAACTGATTGTTATCTAAGACCTCATTTCACACATTAATAGAGCAGTAAGAATAAGTGTAAGAGATCCAATCAGTTCTTCATTAGTCATAACTATACAGCAGACACGAGGAAGTGTATCACTTTATCTCTGGAATTCCACTCTGAGTTGGCTCCATAAGGAAATATTTTATAGGCTTTCATAGTGAAAACAAAAGTTTAAAACGCAACCAATTTTATATGCAATTTCCTGTCTAGCTGTAAATATGGCACCTTTTTCATGATACTGTTAAGTATTACTTTTGCCTTTTTGTGCAAACAAATGGTTATTAGCTTTTTTTTTTCCTTCTACTGGCTGTTCTGGAACTCGATCTGTACACAAGGCTGGCCTTACTCAGGGATCAGGCCGTCTTCTGGGATTGAAAACATGGGCTGCCACGACTGGAGCCAGGTTATTAGTTGTATCAACTTTAAAAACTTGTAAATTCATGAGGATAATTCTGTGAAAATCGCACACACTACTTAAAATTGACCTTTTATGTGTGTATCATTTCACACAAACCATTTAACGATGAAGATATCGTTGTTGATTTACTTCAAGTTGTATTCACAATACTCTCATTCTCTGTTTTAATCAATATTTCTGCCACTAATGACAGTATATGAGTTCATTCACTTCTAAACATCAGAGTCCAACTACGGGTGTCTTTGAAAGTTATCTTTTCCCGTCCATCCCACCATTCTCAGTAATCAAGGTATCACTACCTCTTCTTCCAGTAAAAGAACGCAACAATCTCTTAGACGCCCCAAAACACAACCTCTCTCATAAAGACTGAAGACAAGTTACAACAGTGGGACCTAAGAAGCAGGTCGCGGCGAAGCCGAGGAACCAGTGAGAAGGTCGCAAGAAACTGGGCCATTTGCCAAAGGTGAACGTCCCCCGAATCCAGGAGACTGACTGGTGCTACGAAGCTTTAGGTGAAGTGAGTGACAGGCTGAGAAAGAGGCTTGGCCCTTTGGGGCTGAGCAAAACACGCAAAGAATTCCAGAGAAACGTCAGGCACTCCAGGGCAGTGCGAGGCCGGACTTGAACCCAGCTCCAAAGGCGAAGCCCTCGGAGGAGGCCCACGCTGCCCCTGAGGATTTCAGCGTGAAGTAAACAACCGGGAAGCCCGGGACCCACGCGCTCCTCAAAGTCATGGCTACGAATCGGGACTGCACGGGTGTCAGTGGGAAAGCAGGGGGCGGGCCCCAGGCTTCTCCCCGCCCAAAGAGCGGCGCACCCTCAGTGCGCCTGCGTGGGGTGAGGCCGGACTCTATTTGGTTATCCGGCGCGCGGCCGCCGAGGCGTCCGCTACCCAGCGTGCTGCGCGCGCGCGGCGGCCCTACGTCTCTCCTCACCCATCCCTCCCTCTCCCCTCTCCTCCCGTCCCCTCCCCTCCCGCCGCGGCCCCCCTTTCCCCAAAGTGAGTGAGTGAGACGGGCAGATGGAGGAGGGACTGTAATGGCGGCGGCCGGCAGCTCCCTGCTCTGATCCGCGGCAAGCACACGGCAGCGACCCCCTCCCCGGCCCTCTCCCGGCCGGCCCCCGCCCTGCCGTCGGCGCGGGGCCACCGTCCCGGCCCTCCCCGCAGCTGTCGGCGGCGTCTCGCTCTGCGCCCCGGCCGGGGCCCCACACACAATGGACGAGCTGGCCGGAGGCGGCGGCGGCGGCGGCCAGGGGATGCCGGCCCCTCCCCGGCCGCAGCAGGGACCCGGGGGGAACCTGAGCCTTCCGCCGCCGGGAGCGAACGGAGCGCCGGGCGGTGGGGGTCCGGCGGCCGCCGAGGCGGCGGGGCCCCCGGCAGGCCCCGAGCTGTCCCGGCCGCAACAGTACACTATCCCGGGGATCCTGCACTACATCCAGCACGAGTGGGCTCGGTTCGAGATGGAGCGGGCGCACTGGGAAGTGGAGCGAGCTGAACTGCAGGTACCCGGCCGGGGACGAGTGCGGGCCGGGGCCGGGGCCGGGGCGCGGGCCTGGGGGTGGGGCCCTGGCTGGAGCCCGCGCCCTGAGGGGCGGAGGGGACCTACCTGAGAGGCTCGGGTCGGCGAGCGGCGACGGCGTCCCCGGCGCCCCCTCCCCCGCTCCCGCAGCGGCCCGCTCCCTCCTCACAGGCAGCGCGCTGCGGGCATCCTCGGGGCAGCCATTTTGGCTTTTAGCATGGCGTCTGCGGGGCTCCTCCGGAGGCGCCTACTGGGCCTCTAGGCGAGAGTTTGGCGTGGGTCCGCTGGGCACTGACTTGGCGCCTGTTTGTCCTCGTGAGGTTGAGAAGACGCGGAGAGGGCTTGGGATGAGTGTCTTTGCCTCCTGGCCCCGCCATCCCCTTCCGATGTGGCGTCCTGCCCCCTCCCCCGCGCCGCGGGACGCAGTTGCCCCTTGACAGCCACGCCGCTTCGGGCTACTACCTCGCACAATGGCTTGTGGCCCGCCGGCGAAGTTTGCATTCCCACCCCCCAACTTTTAAATACCCGGGGTGCCGCGCTACTCAACTTGCGTTTAGTAATTCATCATCACTTTTAACTGAATTTTTCTCTTTTGAGTTGGCTTCTCTAGACTTTCCTTCTAACCCTTGTTTTTACTCACACAAAGCAGAACTAGACTGTACTGTATTTATGGAATGTCTGCGGAAAGAATTGTACAAGCTAAAACGAAGCTGGATGTCCACTTAATGTGAACCTCTGGTAGACTTGAGTTATCCTAACTTTTGGAAGGTAGTAGTTTCTCGGACTTTATGTCTTGAGGTTTTAGAATTGCTGCATCTTTTTGAAAGGGTTATTTGAGTTGTAGGATAGATGTATTTAGTTTTAAGTTCCTTTCCAGGGTATAATTTAAGCTTAGGAGAAAAAAGCATGCATCTAAACATTTGCACCTGTTTTTTAGACTTAGGAATTTCGGATGTAGGCAACATTGTTCATTATTATACACACACAACACTCCTTTGGTGAATTTAGGAAGAAGAAATGTTGAAACGGGAGAGTGATTAATGTAGAAAAGGTGTTCTCAAATAAACATGAATCTTCAGTTTGATTTTGAACCAGTAAACTTTTTATTACATTGATTATAAAGAATTTCCTTCAAAAATTAAAAATACCCTGGTGTGTCGTGGCATATGTCTCTAGTCCCAGCACTCAGGAGGGGAAGACAGGTGAGTTCAAGCCACCCTGGTTTACAGAGAGTTACAGGACAATTAGAGCTAGAGTCTATATCAAACAAACAGAAAAGTAAAAGAAACATTAAAATAATGTTGTTTTGCTGACAGAAGGATTGCAAGGCAAGTGATTAAACAGTAAATTAATGTTGTAGGCTTTTTTGTTTTGAGATAGGGCTTCTAGGGGTAGCGTGCCCCTGGCTGTCCTGCAACTCAGCTCTGTAAACCAGGCCTGACTGTCTCCCAAGTGATGGGAGTAAAGGGGAGTGCTATCATACCCAGCTATGTGTTTATTTTTTTTTAATAGTTATTTACTTCTGTTTGTGTGTGCCTGAATGTATTTATGTGTACCACATGTTTTTAAGAGCCGTAAAAAGTCAGAAGAAAGCATTGGATTCCTGTAGTTATGATGATTATGAGCCATCATTTGTGTGGTGGGAATTGAACCCTGTTCTTCTTGCCTGAGCAGCAGTTGCTCTTAACCATGAGCCATCTCTCCAGACCCTAATTGTTTTTGTGCTTTGTTTTGGCTGTTTTTGACATAGGGTCTATGTCCCATGCTAGCCTGGTAGTAGGCTAGTCTTGAATTCAGATACTAGCCTGCTTCTGCCTCCTGAGTGCTGTGATCAAAGGCATGTTGGTTGTTTTGAGTTCCATGGGCAGCATGGAACTCAACTGTGTTGAACAGGACGGTTTCCCTCTTAGAAATCGATTTGCCATTTGTGAGCTGGGGTTAAACGTTTACACCACCACCTCACTCAGTAAGCCAGTAAACTTTTATTTTACTTCACAAAGTAGGTTAAGCTTAAAATTTGTTTTTTACATATTTTATTTGACACCTTTAGTTGATTCGTTAGTTTTAAAATTGTGCTTAAGGATACTTTTGTGTTTTAGAGATTATAACTTTCAAAAAGCTTGTCAAAATTGCCTGTGGTTTCTTTTAAATTTGTAGAGTCTACTTTAATATACTTGGATTTAGAGTTTTGAGTGCATACAGCTTTCTGGTACATTGTGATGCTTGCTTAATGTTCTCTGTGGGTAGACTGAGGTTAAAGTATTCATTAAAAAAATGCATTGAGGCTTTTGCTTACTTGATAAACCACCAGTTCCTTATGTGGTGTTTGATCCTTGCACTGTTTATTTTCATCAGTTTTCAAATTAGCAATTGAATTTGTCACTCAGGCATAGTTAGTAGCTGAGAAAGCATCTTGTGTCCAAATTAACAAGTTTTACATTATTGAGATCTGTGTTGTCAGCCGCTTTCTCCCTTTTCCTTTTCAGCAGAAAAGGACTTTAAGGATTCTGTTGCTTGGCTTCTTTCAGATAATCTGTTATACGATAGCTCTGATAGTCTTTGTTTACTTGCTATTTTTCTCTTTAAAATATTTTATTGTGTGTTTGTGTTTATGTGTATGTGAATGTGGGCAAGATCATGAGTTTGCACACAAGGGCAGGCACCCCCTAAGGCCAGAGATAATGGATTCTCCTGGAGTTGGAGTCTTCCCTGTTGTACTGGGACTCCAACTCAGGTACCTTCGAAGAACTGCTATTTCTCCAGCCTGTTTACTTGTTTTAAAGAATGTTATATGGTATTCCCTGCTTCTGTTTTTACTAGACATTTATTTATTTATTTGTTTTCTAGACAGGGTTTCTCTGTGTAATAGCATTGGCTGTCCTGGAACTCCCTTTGTAGATCAGGCTAGCAAACTAACAGAGATCCACCTGCTTCTGCCTCTGGGAGCACTGGGATTAAAGACACAGGCCATCATACTCCATCCTTTTCATAATTTTATATTGAAACTTGGAATAAAATGTTCATGACTGAATTGCTTTTGTGTGTTCTGTATATATCTTTATATTGTTTTATTGGGTTAATTAGTTAAAAGCATTTCAGATTTGTTTCTGGAATATGAATATACTTAAGTGGTATCAGTCATTTGGGGGTGGAGTAGGGCAGTGCAGGAAAGCTATCTGAAACTTGGTAGGTAGCTCACTGGCCTTGAATGCTATTAGTCTTTAATTAAGACTGCTTGTAAAGTATGTACTTAATTTTGTGTTGAGTGTATCTCTAAAAATGTATGTGTTATATTTAAGCTATAAATTTAATATTCAAGTCTTATCATTTTTATATGTAGTTCTAATAGTATGTAGTTCTATGGAGACCACTAATCATCTGTACATTATTTTTTGAAACAGTATCTTGTAGTGTTGCTCAGGCTGGACTTTAACTCCTTGGTTTAAGTGAGTCTCAGCCTCCTGGGTAGCTAGGACTAACATGTGAACATACATTTTTGGCTGTGCTGGATAATCCTGAGCCTTGTGCATGCTATTTATTGTGTCTGTGGTTTGTGATCTCCCACAAAACACATGTGGTGGTCAGAAGACTACTCATGGGAGTCAATATTCACTTTCCTCTGTCTGGTTGTCAGGCTTGTCAGCAAGCTCCTTTACCTGCTTAGCCATCTCACTAGCCCTACAGATTTTCTTTATTCTCTTCCATTTACGTTTTCCTCAGTCTGTAGTCTTGCCTCTTATGAACATTGTAGAACACAGTTTTTTTTGTTGTTTTTTTGTTTGTTTTGTCATGATTGACCTTCAGATTTCCAAATTCTGTGGTTTTATACATTGTATTAGACTGAAGCCACAGTTTCTGCTGTTAATTATTTCTTCCCTGAAATCTTTTCCTTTAGGGCTGGTGATGTTTGGGCACCTCTTTGATCCTAGAACTGGGAAGGCAAAGTCAGGTAGACTTCCCTTGAGTTCTAGGCCAACCAGAGCTCTATATTGAGGCACTCTGAGATTTTTCTTTGGCTTACATTCTATTATCCCTTATTTCTCTTTTACCTGCTTCATCACTTCTGTTCAGTTTTGAGACATGGTCTTGCTATGTATTCCTGGTTGGTATGGTGTTCAATTCTATAGCCCAGGGCAGCCTCAACTAGTGGCAGTTTTCTTGCCTTGCCTTCTCCACTAAAAGGAATTATTATAGGGCACTACCAAGTTCTGCCCACTTTTTATAATATTTCCTTTTACTTGTCTGTAGTTGTAATTCGAGGTTCTCAATGAACTTGTATTTTCACTGTATTATTTTACCAATTTTTTAAAATTACATTTTGATTATTTTGTGTGCCTGTGTGTATTCGGGCATGCACATGGATACAGCATGTGTTTGGAGATCAGAGGACCATGTGAGTCCAGGGATTGAACTTGGGTCAGAAGGCATGGGAGCAGATAGATGCCTTTGTCCTCTGAGCCATCTCTAGGGCTGTCATCCAGTTTTTTAAAGTACTGTATTTATTTACCCATTTAATTCAGAAAACTTCATAGTGAGGTTCATAGAACTGTCTTCTTTTTAAATTTCTGACACTGATATGTTGGGGCCCATACAGATTCTAAGTGATATGCTCAGCTATGTAACTGGAGACAGCAGAAAGCAGAGCTGAGATTTAAACCTGAGGACATTCTTTTAGCTTCAGATGTTCCAGACTTACTTGTAAATTTCCTGTTTAACTTTTCCATCTCAAATTCAACTATTCATCTATTCACCTGATTTTTATATCCCTATTCTCCCTGCACACCAATAAACCTGCTCCATTAATGTTATTACTAGTATTTAGTCAATGATTCCTTTCTGGAGTGTCAGACTTTTAAGTTTCATTCATTTTTTTCTTCATAGTTATTTATTGAATAAATATATGCTGCTTTGGGCTACTTTCTGGGCATGTAGTTATGTATGAAACAAAGGCTTGTTTTAGAGAGAATAAAATGCTTAAAGTGG